AAAAAAAACAAAATAAATTCCTCAAATAATTAGGATTCCTTTCCGGAAGCTCCTCCTTGGCTTCTCTCGGCCATCCCGGTGGTGGCCTCTATGGATGGAGCCAAGGTTCCTTGGAACCGTCGAGAGCGAAAGCGGTGGAGGCAAGCTTCGGCGGTGGCGGTCCACTTGTTCTGTGGGAAAGACCGTGGCTGCTGGAAGTCCAGGGCGGAGGCCGCCCACGTGGTTACTGTGGATCAGGCGGAGGACATCATGGCGGATGATACCTTTGCGGCTTTGTTGGACCTGGCGCTGACCGGGAAGATCAAGACGGTCTTTGGCGGGCCGCCCCGTCGGACGTACTCGGCCCTGCGCAATCTGGGAACGGATGGCGATGGAGGTTTGCGGCCACTACGTGATCGTGATGGACCTGGAAGATGGGGCCGGGAAGGACTTTCGGAATGGGAGCAGTGGAGGGTCAAGCAGGATACGATCATGGTGTTTCGTATGATCTTTCTTTGGATGGTGGCGGCAGCTGTCGCCAAGGGCAGTGGAGATCGCCTACCGGATTTTCTCCTGGAACATCCTGAGGATCCGAAGAAGGTTCTGAAGGAGGCCGCGTCGCCGTCGTTATGGGCCACTCCGGAGATTCGCCTCTTGGAAAGGACCCTTGGATGGCACGCCTGGGAATTTGATCAAGGGCCTCTCGGGCATGTTCGTCGACTTCCTACCAGGGTGCTGTCATCGATAAGGTGCCCGCCCGAGCTGCAAGGAGTTCGTGGGCCGTCTACTGTTTCGGTGGAGGAACGGGACCATGATGGAGCGGGCTTTCGGTCAGCATCCTGGGCGGCATGGGCTCCTCAGTTGAAGGTCGTGATCAAGGATGTCATCGAGGCCAGCCTTGCGGGCGCGGCTTTGGACACCCTCTTGAAGATGGATGCGGCGTTCTTGGAGCATCTACGACGGGACCATACCCCGTATCGACGGGACTGCCGGGCCTGTCTTGCTGGAGCTTTTCGCGGGCATCAACATAGACGCATTGTCACGCCCGAGGCTTGGTGTTTGTCCCTCGACCTCATCGGGCCTACGCGACAAGGTCTGGATGAGAACTTGAAGAAGGTGAAGTACGGGCTCATTGGGTCGTTGGTGGTTCCTGATGTGCTGGGCAAGCTCCTTCAGCCTGCTGATCCGGAAGGCGAGCCTGACGATGGAGCTGGAGTGGGTTTTATGGACGATGAGGACCCGGTGCTCGCCGGGGGAAGCGAAGCCGATGATGAAGGTGAAGCCCCAGAGGGGCGAGACGCGGCGAAGAACTTAGCCAAGTGGCAGGCGATGGCGGAGAAAAAGAATGTCGAGGGAGCCTCGGTGGTGGAAGTTCCCTTCTTTGTCCCGCTGGCGTCCAAGTCCGCCCCGGAGGTCCTGTCGGCTACCAAGGAGATTCTTCTACAAGTTCGGCGTCTTGGCCTGGTGGTGCGACGGATCCATACCGATCGGGGCCGAGAGTTTGTCAATCGAGCTTTCCGAGGAATGTGTCGTGACCGGGAGATTGTGTACACCTCAACCACTGCCGATGACTTCCGAGCCAATGGTCGCGTTGAAGCTTTGGTGGGCCGTGCTAAGTGTGCGGTGAGGACTTACCTGGCCAGTTCGGGCCTTGGTCCGAATATGTGGGCCTTTGCGATGCGACACTACGCGGCCCGGATTCGACAAGCGGTGGCTACTCAGCTTGGAGCTCGCCTACCTCGCCTTCCACCTTTCGGAACTAAGGTCTTTGTAAGAAAGCGAACGTGGCAGATGAAGAAGGAGGAGTTCACCGAGAAGGTTGTGGCGGCTCACATCCTCTGCCCGTCGCTGGATGTGTCACGTGGGTTCTTGGTGAGGACCGAGGACGGCAGCTACCTGACAACCATGGTGGCGGTGGAGAATGTCAAGGAGGTGTCCGGCGAGTTTGAGGTTGACGCTCCACCTGCTCCTTCGGGAGAACCGGGAGCCCGGCGGCGCCTTCATGGCAAGCAACCTGTGGTGGCTTCCCTCGAGGAGTCCGAGTATGTGGACAAGCTCGCGGTGTGTGACGATGAACACCTACTGCAGGACGAGGAGCTTGCGGAGGCCTTTTTGGATGCTGGAGATTTCTCAATGGAAGCTGTGGAAGAGCTGCTCAACGGGCTCTGGCTTGCAGATGTTCGCGCTCCCAACCGTCGCGGAGGCGCCTTTGACCACAGCCAGTTCATCTCGGTCCATACAGCGGGAATGTTCCGGCATGGAGGAGTTGTTGGGGCCACAAATCTTGTTCGTCACCGACCTGCCCTTACGAAGTTTTTGGTGACCGCTATGAAGAACCTCCTTCCGGAGGGCACCACCTTTACTACCTTGTCCCTCAACTTCAACAATGCTATGCAGTGCCACCGGGACAGCAACAATGAGTCGGGCACGAAGGCCCACTTGGTCGCGTGTGGGGCGTTTGTTGGCGGTGCTTTATGGTGTCATGACGCTGCAGTCAAGGAGGAGGTGACCTGGAACAAAGTGCAAGGCCGTTGGCTTCCTGGCACCGCTTGGCCCACCTACCATCAACCGGTGACTGTTGATCCTCACCAACTTCATCAGCCCCTTCCTTGGGAGGGAATGCGCTACACCATCACGGCCTACACCGTGGGCTGCGGGGGCAACTGCGTCAGTCGGGATCGTCATCTACTACAAGGCTTGGGATTTCCTCTTCCACCACATGTTCGGGTTGCTCCCGAAGGAGGAGGCGGTGGGGTCAGAGGAGAGATGAAAAGCCTGCGGCGTCCTAAGGGCGCGCTGAGAAAGTTTTGTGGAGCTTTTTCGTCTTGTGCCGAGTGTGACCTGGTCCCGGGGGAGGATCAGACCTTGGAATCTTCTCTGGTCGGTGGTGGAGCCAGTCAGGGCGATCCAGCTTGTGTGTGCAAAGGTTGTGAGGTGGATCCGTCGTTGTGCACGTGCCGGGTGTCTGAGGTGAGTGGTGATCAGGTTCCCCAGAAGTTTTACATCGGCGACGATGGCTTCGACTCTGGTGCTGAGGTCGAGATCAATGAGGGTTCTCGGAAGGAGGATGGGGGCCCGGAACAGTGGGGTGCTTTTGGCCCTCCGATGGTGGCCAAGCTGGAACCTTTGGATGGGGGCGACGTCGAGTCCTACTACTTGCTTGGCTCCGAGGTGCCTCTGGAAGTCGGCTGGGACCTGTTCGAGGGTCACTTGGATGATCTCCGCTTGGCTACCGTGCAAGAGGAGTATGCTGAAAGGGAACAGGTGGTTCAGCGAGGAGAAGCCGGCGATGTGGTGGAAGGGCCGAAGTGGGACGAGGAGAGGGCCTTGACTTTGTGCGCAAGACCGAGGTCCCTGAGGATCCCGAGGAGGCGCCTTTGCATACGAAGACCATCCCCAACGAGGTGGTGAGGCGGGAACTTCAGCGCTGGGCTCCTTCTATGTTCTCTGAGTATGAGAGTTTGGTGCGGGAGAATGAAGCCGTGGAACCCTTTTCCGAGGCCCAGCTTCAGGAATGGAAGGATGCGGGCCGCGATTATGACTTGGTGCCGGGCAAGACCGTGCACACCATCAAAGCGTTCTCGGGACGCCTCAAGACGAGGGCGGTGATCTGCGGGAACTTTCTGGCCCAGTCGTTTGCCCGGGAGCAGAAGTATGCGGCTGGTGCGGACAGCGTGCTGATCCGCCTTGTGCTTCGCGAAGCTGCCCGTCGAGGATGGAGATTGGCTGTGCTGGACGTCAAGACGGCCTTCCTCCTGGCCCCGCTGCTGTTTCAGGAGAAAAGGCCTACGTTGGTGTTGGTTCCGAAGTTGTTCCTGCTGGCGGGTATATGCAAGGAGCCAATGTGGAGAGTTCGCAAGGCCTTGTACGGCATGTCGACCTCGCCGAAGAGCTGGGAGACCTACCGCAACCAGGTGATGGCCAAACTCCGTGGACGTGTGGCCGGTGGTGAAGTTACTTTGACCCCTTCTGGCGTCGATGATAGCTTGTGGTACGTGCAAGTTGGCGCCCGACGTGCGGGGGCCGTGATCTGCTATGTGGACGACCTGTTGATTGCAGCCGAGCCGGGTGTAGCTGAGGAGGTGGCTCGCATGTTCACTACTACCTGGAAGTGCACTGAGCCGCAGTGGGATGATGTTACCTTCAACGGTTTCGAGATCCAGAAGACCGACGACGGCTTGAAGATCACCCAGGACAGCTACGTCCAGGACTTGTTGGGGCGCTACAAGGACCTAGAGGGCTTCGAAGAGGTTCCGGCTCCCCTTCAGCTGAAGCCGGAGGATTTCGTGCTGAAGGAGAATGAGACTTCTGCGGATTTCTCTCGGGCGGCCCAGGTGATGGCTGGCGAGATCCAGTGGCTTGCGGGGAGATGCCGACCGGAGCTGATGTATGCCACCAACGTGCTGTCCCAGGCCATATCCCGGGCCCCGAAGGAAGCGGTTTATCGCGGCATGCACTTGGTGAAGTACTTGAAAAGGTACCCTAGCGGTGGTTTGCTGTACTCGCGAAAGCATGAGACGGACCCAGAGGCCAGGACCGCTTCGTCTGGACCTGCGTTGGAAGGCTTCTGTGATGCTTCCTTTGCCCCTGGCTCGGAGCGAAGTCAGCAGTGTGTGCTGATTATGGCGGCCGGTGGCTTGGTGGCCTGGTCGAGCGCCAGGCAGCCCTTCGTCACTATGTCGACGGCGGAAAGTGAGTTGGTGGCGATTTGCGAGCTGACCAACTGTTTGAAGGCCACCGAGCATCTAGCGGCAGAGCTCATGGTGGGCAGCTGCCAACAGAATGCCCTGGTGAAGAAGGTCATCTACTCGGACTCCCAAGCGGCCTTGGCGGTTTGCCGGTGTGCGGCCGGGTCGTGGAGAACAAGGCACCTTCGCATTCGTGGGCACATGATCCGAGAGCTGCTGGAGCAGGACGACTGGCAGTGCTACCACATCGACGGGAAGGTCATGACGGCCGATGTTGGTACCAAGGCCTTGGCCGTGGATCGCTTCAGCCAGCTTACAGCGAGAATGAGAATGGTGCGCTCTAGGGAGACCCGGGTTGTCTCCTCTGGAGTGGATCCCAAGGTTGCGAAGAAGTTGGTCCTGCTCCTGTGCATGGCTGCTTTGGTGGAGAGAGTGGAAGCTGCCGAGGCAGGCCACCCCTACAGCGACTACTTCTTTGCGGCGATCTGTGTGACGGCCGTGATTGCGATTTGGGAGTGTGTGAAGGGCGCGCTCAACACGATGCTGGAGCACTGCCGAGGCGGCCTGCGGAGAACACAGGAAGAGACCTCGCTGAGTAGGTCCTCAGATCCTGATTCGGGCACTGAGGATCGACAGGAGGTACACTCACCGGTGATCTCCCAGGCTGCCGCTTCCTCTACTTTGCGGAACCGCAGTCGTGTTACTGGAGAGCGTCGTCCGCCAACGCCTCCGATTCCCCCGGTGACCATGCAGGGCCCCGAACCTCGCATTGTGACCCGGCCGGCCGAGAATGCCTACACCTTCCGGGATCCGAGCGGCAAGCGAGACCGCTGGGAATGGGATGAGCTGCGTGGAGTTGTGATCCGATGGCACCCGAATCCTCGGGTTCAGATGTTCGTGCCAGGACAGACCTCTGGAGGGCCCACCCAAGCTCAGTTGACCGGCGAGCGTCAGACGTTCACCAAGTTTGCCAATGGCGAAGTGAAGGTTGTGAGCGACAACTACCGGATGCTAGCCAAACCGGCCCAAACGTTGGCCGATCGTGAGTGGAAAGGGCGCACTGAGCTGCGCCTCGTACAGGGCGTCCGTACTCATACGGCGCAACACTGGGATGATTAGCCTTGAGTCTTTTGTCACGCTGTGAAGAACAGCTCCTTGGAACTGAAGGTGTGGAGCACCTTCTCAAAGGCCTCGAGAAGAGGACAGATGCGGCCCCTCCTGATCGGCCCTTGTTCTGCGGATTGCAGAAGGGGGAGTGTGACTGGGAAAGAGGGATGTTCCGCATATGTAAAGCAGTGCAACATGTCCGATCTGAAAGGCTTTTCGGTTCCAAAACAAGCGTGACCTCCGCATTCGGGAAAACGGTTGTCAGATGGTGTTGGTGCCTACGACCACATAGCCAGGGCAGCAATGTTTGAAGGCCTCCGCCGGGATGCTCGCTTGGCTTCGTTGATACCATTTGTCCGTCAACTTTATAGCCGCGAGAGCACATACCTCTGTTATGACCAACTAGGACAGGCACATCAGGTAGCCCAGGCGGAAGGAGGGGCCATTTTGCAAGCCAACCTTTGAACGAACTCATTGCCATGTCGGCGGCCGTGCTCGGACAGCTATTGTCGGCATGCGCCGGGGCCTATTCAGCAGCCTCATCGGCTGTGTGGTGGGCCGCTTCTCTGCCGCCGACGTGCAAAGAAAGCATGACCCACACAGCCCTCACATGCAGCGGAGCGACGCCTCGTTACTTCACCCCGGCTTTCGGACCGCTGGCCCTCGCATGGGGGTGGCTTCTGGTGGGCGTCCTGCTTGGCTTTCTCTTCCGCCGAGCCGTGTGTGCGATTGTCGGGCTGGCGGGAGGTCGCCCCTCGCAGTGCCCCTCACCACGCACCCCGTGGAGCTGGGAGGCCCTCCTGCGCGAGCTTTCGGCCCGCAATCAGGACCCTCACCGGCACGAGGTGTTGCAGAATTTGCTACAGGGATGCGAGGCGGCGTTGGAAGAACTTTGCCGGGCATCGCAGCGCACACCAGCTTCTTTGATGGCCCATCTTGTCGCCAACCACTCCGAGGTCGCAGACGCTGCGGCCCTGCGTCCCCCGACTTTGGCCCCTCGCCGACGGAGCGGGCGGCACTAACCTCCTCGCGCGAGGGGGTTGCGGGAGAGGCGACCAGATCGAGCAGTGTTGGGCACGAATGGACGCCGCATCCCTACCGTGGCAGGCGCGTTGGGGAAGCTGCCCACCCTGGCCCACCATGCGAAAGCGATGTGTCGGGGCGTCGTGAAGGGCTTTACGTGCCTTTATTGCACGCAGGAGCCGGTAATTTGAGCGAGCGCGCGTTGCAGGCTTGGAGGGTCACTCCGGATTTCGGGCCTCGGTTTAGCGAGCTTGCAGCCAAGTTGCGCGGGGCAGCGCCAGTAGCGCCAGGCCAACTCGCTCGATCGTTGCTAGCGCTGTGGCGGATTGCGAAGCCCACGATGCCCAGCGAAGCGTGGCAGCGGAGGATCGCTTTGGCATCGGTGTTGACCGCGCTGCCTGACGCGCCGCTACCACTGCAGGCTGCCATTGTTCTGTGCATGGGCCCCGACGGCTACCTCACAGCGGCAGCACAGTCAGCGCTGCTCGAATCCGACGCTGGCGCGATTGCCGCCGCAGCCACACGGGCTTTGGCCGATGATGTGCGAGCAACGCATGGTACAGACCCGGCACGGCGCTCGCCTACGACGCGACGGGGCCTCCGACGAGCTCGCCGCCGGACTGCACCTTGCGACTCAGCCCGCACGGAGGAGAGAGAGAGACGAGGGCGATGGTGGAGTGCCTATTTGCCCATCGAATGCTGAGCCTCTGGACACCTTCGTTCGAGCTTCGGCAGGCGTTCCAGACACAGCATGGGCAGCGCTCGATGGCGTTGATCTCCGCGAGGAGTTTCGACACCCCGCTCCCACCCTGCAGGACGTGCCCCCCTTCATGCGCGCGGCAGTCCGCAATGCGTTGACATCAGCCCTCACGCGCCTGCGAGCAGCGCATGCGGTTGGTCGCGGCACCGGCCCGAACGCTTCCAGAGCCTGGAAACTCTTCCTACTCGCTCCGCGCATGCTGCTGGCACTCCCGGACAACAAGGCTCGCAAGGCCGGGCAACGCTCGTCGCGCGGGCGGCAGCGTTCCAACGAGGCGAATGGACACAGCTCCTTGCCGCTGCGCGGCCTGGGACGCGAGCCCCCGAGCCGCTGACGGAGCTCGACCCCGTTGTTGCGTCCGAGCGCAAACGCGAAACGGCATGCGCCAAAGTTCGACAAGGCGAGCTTTCCCGCGCCCGCCAAATACTCACGGCAGCGGAGCTCGCGCCGGGCACGGACGCTACGTGGGAGGCGCTCACCGATCCCGCGAAGCGCCCGCCCGAGGCGCGGGCCCCACCGCCCGCCGAGCTGCTTCAGTACCAGCCCGAGCGCTCCGTTCAACTCTCCACCCGAGTGGTCGCCAGCGCACTTCGCGAGGCGCGACGGGGCGGCGTGGCTGGCTTGTCAGGCATGAGGGCGGAGCACTTGAAGCTGCTTTTGCTGGACTTGGAGGCGCTGGAACTGCTGACTGAGGCGGCCACGCACCTCGCGCAAGCCCATGTACTGGCAGATATATCGTTGCCGGCTTGGCCATGGCGCGCCTCACGGCATTGCGCAAGCCCGACGGAGGGGTACGAGGCATAGCCACAGGCGACGTTTTCCGCCGCCTCGTCGCGAGAACACTCGCCAAGGAGTGGGCGCAGGTCTTTGACAACGCTACTCGGCCATACCAGTTCGCACTCCATGCCCGTGCGGGGACGGACGCACTCGCCGCTAGCGTGCGGGCTGCCTTGTCCTTGCGCCCAGGCTCGGTCCTAGTGTCGCTGGATGGCCGCTACGCATACGACTCCATGTCCCACGTAGCCTTCCTCAGCAAGTTGCGTGACGTCGCGCCAGAGCTCCTCCCCTTTGTGCGGCTTTTTTACGGCCAACCCTCCAGCTACTGCTGGTGGGACAGCACGGGGGCATGCCGGACCGTGCCGCAAGGCGAAGGCTGCGAGCAGGGCGATGCCCTTGCCCCAGCACTGTTCGCGCTCGGCCAACACGAAGCGCTGTGCCAAGCCGCGGCCGAGCTGCACCGCGATGACGCCCTGTTGACCTTCCTCGATGACGTTTATGTCGTCACAGTTCCAGAGCGTGCCCGAGCGGCCCTGGACAGTGCGACGACAGCCGTCGAGGCCCACTGTGGCATCGCTTCTATTTTCGGCAAAACAAGGGCGTTCGCGCTGGGAGGGACCCCCCGAGCTGAGAGCCGCGGTGTGGCGAGGGGACAAACCACCGGCGGAGAGGGGCCTGCTTTTCCTGGGCACTCCAATCGGACACCCCGATTTCGTGAGCGCATGGGCGGCAGATCGCATGCAGGAGTCCTCCAGCAGCTACCCGAACTGCCCGACCTGCAATGCAGCTGGCTCCTCCTGTCCATGTGCACATCCCCCCGTGCCATTCACGCGCTCCGCACGCTGCCCCCGTCCGAGTCACGTGGGTATGCCGCTGCACATGACGAAGCCATCTGGGAAACATTGCAGGCTTGCCTGGGAGGTGTGCCCCTCGACGATGCGCCCCACGCCTGGACGATCGCCACACTGCCTGCGGCGCTCGGTGGACTCGGCCTGCAATCCGCGCAATGCACGGCCTCGGCAGCTTACTGGGCCGCGTGGGCCGATGCGCTGCCCGTGATGCGAGCCCGCGCGCCCGACTTCGCACGCCGGTGCGAGGAAGGTTTGGAGGGCGGAGCCGGCCGAGACGCGCCATGTTTGCGCGAGGCGGTGGAAGCCGGGGAGCTACTACGAGAGGCGGGTTGGCAAGCTTGCCCGACGTGGCGTGCTCTGTCGGAAGGGGCGCGCCCGCCTCCGGCAGACGACGCGGGGCCGGGAGACTGGCCGCATGGATGGCAGATGCGCGTGACGCGAATCCTCAACACACACTTCCGCGAGCGCACGCTGCTGCCAGATATGCCACCCAGTTCCCAAGCACTCTTGCGATCCCAGGCCGGACCGCAGGCAGGTGCTTGGCTCGCTGCGATCCCTACTGAGCCGGCGACCACGCTCCCGCCGCCCGCCATGCAGATCGTGTTGAGGCGTCCCTGCGACAACCTTTGCCGTTGCACAGCAACACATGCAGGCCACCCCATGGCTGCGGAGGCGCGGTGGACCGCTTCGGCGATCACGCGCTCGCGTGCCCGCGCACTCGACTCCTACACCGGCCCGCGAAAGGCAGTGCATTGGATATTGTTCATGCGAATCCCCAACTAGACGCCGGCATTCAGAAAGGCAGTGCAAGGCAGTGCAAATCATAGTTCTAGTTGGGGACGCGTGGGTCCGAAAGTCCGAACATAAAGTTTTCAAGCCGATTTGAAGGCCAGAACCTGCCAATCCCCATGAGACGCCGTGCATGCACTGGTCTCCAAGCATGGTCTGCGTGTGTGTCAACAATGGTAATCCCCATGTAGACGCTGTCCGGAAACTTCTGACGACATACACTTCCAAGCCAACGGAATATCCATTCCCGCATGGTATGCTGTGCATTCGCCCGTGTCAATGACAGAAACATTTTCAAGAATGGCTATTGTGGTTGCCTCCGATACAACTTCCTACCGTTGCCCGCGAAACTTGGGCCAATGTCTTCGGGTAACACCGTTCTAAGCAGACGCCGCGCATTCGGTAAGTCCGAGAAGTCAGTGCAAATCACTACAATCACCATGTAGACGCTCGATTTCAGAGTCGCCCGCTCAACACAAACAGCAGTGGAACCACAGTACTTCAAAACCAGCCATTTCCCCACTACACGATTGGTTTCCGAAGCACCCGCTCAAGACACGCATCATTGGCATCGCAGCGCCCGACAACCAGCCATTCCTCATACCAAAAACCATGCAATACTAATACGAATAGTAATACTCTTAGACGCTGTCCGGAAGCTTGTGAAGACATACAGTTTGGTGGCCTCCGATACAACTGGAGCTCGAAAAATGGGTATCCTAACTGGACCTAGAACGATACCTTGAACGATACCAGAACGATACCCTGAACGATACCCTGCGCTTTGGCTTGGAAGCCGAGAGCCCAGCCAACCCTCCGTACTGGTACTAGTACTAGTACTAGTACTAGTACTAGTACTAGTACTAGTACTAGTACTAGTACTAGTACTAGTACTAGTACTAGTACTAGTACTAGTACTAGTACTAGTACTAGTACTAGTACTAGTACTAGTACTAGTACTAGTACTAGTACTAGTACTAGTACTAGTACCAGTACCAGTACCAGTACCAGTACTAGTACTACCACTACTACTACTACTACTACTATTTCAATTGAACGCTGCGCGAGCGTGCTCTGCGCTTTGCGGGCGCCTTTGGTCTCGTGCACTCGTGAAACTGCTTCTAGCATGCATCGCTCAGACCTCTCTAATCAGCTCGAACTTGACAGACTACTGCTACAAAAGCTTCCTCCTCCGACACCTTGGTGTGAACAGACGCGTCCATCTGTGCACCTGTCTCAACAATTAGGCCGTACCTCAGACGAAGCCGACACCTGGAGTATCCGTCTCGTGGCGTCCCACACGGATTACTCATGTTGAAGACAGAAGGCCGTAAGGGTCATGTGCTCATGACCGCATGTACCTGAAAGCAACTCCGGTGGAGTGAGGATTGGGCAGCTTGGACGTGGGCAACTCGCTGAAGAGCGAAGTGCTGTTTTAAGCGAGGTTAGCACGCGGTTCACAGGCTTCCGAAGAGATTTGCTAAGCGTCGGAAGAGTGCCGAATTCCCTGAGTCTGTGACATAAGGGATCAAAGAGTCTGTGACATATTTCTGCCCTCACTGGTCATGACCTTTTGGCCACTGCTGAGAGTAACTGTGCCAGGACCACTGCTGCCACCAGTCCCAGTCGTCTTCTTGAGATGAGCGTGCCTGTCTGGCCCACTGGGTCGAGGAAGATGAGGAGGGGCCATCGCGCTGTCGCTTGCCTTCTGTGTCAGCCTCCTGCATCTGTGGGCGCTTGTTGGGGGCAGCAGCAGCCAGTTTGGCCATGCGCTTGTCCTCCTCGTGCCCCTTGTCGTGCTGGATCCGCATCTTCATGATGGAGTAGGCATTTTTGTCGGGTTTGACCCTGAAGACACGAGCTGGGAGACCGGCTGATTTGGCCGTCTCATTGTAGACTGCCACGATGGTGGTGGCGATCATGTTGAACTCGACCCACGAGGGGAAGTGCTGCTGAAAGGCCTTTTCGTCCCACATCTTGTTGAAGCAGGCGTGGATAAGGCCATGCACCTTTGTGGGGGCATCCAGCTCGCGATAGGCGTCTCCCGCGCCTGTGGCTATAGTGACCTTCCCATCGCTGGTGAGGACCCGCCTCACCGACATGGCGGTGTCCCATGTGAGGCCTGTTTGCGTCCTTACCGACTTGATGGCAGAGAACAGCGGGGGAACTTCGCGGAGTGCTTCCATCCTGGTAGACCAAAGGGTCTGTTGCTCATGGTTGGTGAGGCCGCCAAGAATGACCGGAGCCACTAGGATGTTGATGGAAGCCAAGGCCCGAATCCAGTCCTGGTGGGACTGGGAGCTCAGCAGCTGAGCCAGCTCCTGCCGCGTGTAACGTACTGTCTGTTGTGGAGCCGGCTGTGGGACATAGCCGACGAGTTCCGCATTGGATTCCGGAGGCTCATATGCTGACGGGGGGCGGGAAGAAGGGGGAGGGGGCGTGTGGGAACGCGGAGCGGCCTGGGTGGCAGGGGCTGGGGAAGAAACGGACTTGGGAGGGTGCGGAGGGATCGGGGAAACAGGGATC